GTAGGATTTATCTAGCAGATCTTTTCTCTCTCATCCCGATTCTAGACCCTGCATGGCAAGCCTACATCGGACTTCGGACCACTTGTGAACGCCTTTCTTGAGTTTCAAGTTATCCTGGTGGTCCCTCTTGAGCACTGTCTCTGTTCTCCTCTGGTTTTGCGGGTTTCAAAACCATAGGAGTAGGGGAAAACGCGCTAAGCACTGGTCTGCCCTTGACTTGACGTGATGAACAGGTAAGTAGGCATGCTTAACGGATCGTGGGATACTATTCGCGATAAGATACAGGTGATAATAGGGAGGGATGCTCACATCTACATGCTAAGCGCTCGTATTGAATGGTGAGTTTACCGATACGTTCACCATAGATTTAGCATGCCAGGAGGGGGTTGGTGGGCAGTATGCTGCGAGACCAGGCCACGCCCAGATTCTCCTCGTCTTCGCCCTTCATCGAGATAATATTTGGTTAATTTGAGAGCCGAAAGTCTCGTGACCTTCTCCATCCTAATAATTTAGCCAATCTATTCCGGAGGATGAATTGCGGGAACAGAGTCTTGGAGCGGCGTCGTGCGCGGCAAAATGCAGTAGCATAGGCTAGTTGAGGCTCATTAGTTCACCACGTCATTCAAGTAGATAGTACTCCTTGCCGTCTTCACACATGTTCCGTGATTGGTAGGACCTGAAGAGTAGTAACCTCTAGGTTTTGTTCCACTTGTTCACCTATGATTAGAGATTTCACGTAAGAAATACCCTGAAATGATCACAGCAAAATATCACTGTTCCAACGACATGGCAGCCCATCGCAAGCAGACAAAATCCGCGTTTGTCGTGCGCGACACCGCGTGGTCCTACCGCCGCATACCAGCTATTTAACTCAGGTTTCGATCCAAGCCCACGCTCATGATAGCCACTCCTTTTATCCCCCACCCCTCTAATGCTTTGATTAAATTAATACCAGAATTATCGAAGGTCTTCAAATTTGCTTGCAGAAAGAATCACATATTCTGCTGCTGTTCATATTCGTATCACTCGGGAGTTTGGAACCGATTTCTGTGGAAGAAAACGTGATTTTGAAACGCTCTTGCGGTCCATGTATGTTGAGCGGTTCGGAGTTTGGCTTAGGGGGGCATTTTGCAGTGTCACTACATCCTATCAACGTATCGGGCCTCAAGTGGAGGCTTGTGAAACCTTGTGAAGTCATGAGGTGATAAAGTCATAGCTTAAAAAAACTACTTGCAACCCTTGTGAACAAAATATCTGTCAATTCTTGTAAAACGATTTATATGACAATAGGAAATGTGTAAAATGCCCCTCCAGACCCGACTGTGCAGGATTTTTTCTTGTGCTTTTCACTTATCTGATTAGCTCCATACTGTCTTCACGATCACGCAGTCTCCTTTGCCGGTATAGGGTAGGCCCATACCCTGACGTATTTGCCTTGGAAGAGAGCTTATTCTAGCAGGGCCTAAGCTAAGCCATAGACGGTGACATGTGCTGACGTCGGCCGACATATATACCATTTTCACTTTAAATCGGACACTTTTCAAACCAAATCGGACACTTTTCAAATCAAATCGGACACTTTTCAAATCAAATCGGACACACCCCCTACCAAGGGCAGTTGATAACTAGACCACACTAGGTACTGCTGCAAGCCCCGCCCCAACACCCCGCCCACCTTTCCAGCGCGGTCACGGTTTTCCAAAATGTTTTATGAAGTCTGCTTCTTCGACTTTTTCTCACTTTTGCTAGTTGCACACACACTTTCAACTGAAAGGATTGCGGTACGATCGTGTTGACTCCGCCCACTTCACAATCAAGTGATGTAAGTTCTGAATTTTTATAACTTCTTTCGACGTTCGTTTTTTCACATTCAATCTTCACAAAACGAATATAGCCATGCTTTTACACACTAGCGCACTAGGCCCCGCCCCTCTGACCACGCCCACTTTCGTTTTTCGCGGAATTTTGATTTTTCCTTTCCGAATTTTCACTTTTTTTAGGCTGTGACAAGCGGCCCCGCGATCTAATGAGGCTCGCCCACTTTTTAGAAGGCCCGCCTACTTTTTCAAAAATGATGGAGATCGGCGAGCTAGTGATCGTACTAGCAGGTTATGGCCTCTCCCGTCACCGTCACGTCACATAGAATGAAAAAAAGGGAAAGAACACAAAAAAAGGGAAACTTTGTTCCGGGTGACGGGAGAGGCCATAACCTGCTAGTGCGGTCACTAGCTCGCTGATATGCATATTTTCTGGAAAGTGGGCGGGGCATCTAAAAAGTGGGCGGAGCTTCCATTAGTGGGCGGGACGCTTGTCACCGGCCTAAAAGCTAAAATTCGGGGAAAAAAAGCAAAAATCGCGAAAAAAAAACGGAAGTAGGCGTGCGTCTGAGAGGCGGGGCCTAAGTGCGACTAGTGTGTAAAAGCATGGCTATATTCGTTTTGTGAAGATTGAATGTGAAAAAACCGACGTCGAAAGAAGTTATAGAAATTCAGAACTTACATCACTTGATGTGACAGTGGGCGGAGTCAGATCTGTATCGGTACCAATCCTTTTCAGTTGAAGTGTGTGTGCAACTAGCAAAAGTGAGAAAAAGTCGAAGAAGCAGATTTCATAAAACATTTTGGAAAACCGTGACCGCGCTGGAAAGGTGGGCGGGGTGTTGGGGCGGGGCTTGCAGCAGTACCTAGTGAGTACCTAGTGTGGTCTAGTTATCAACTGCCCTTGGTAGGAGGGTGTGTCCGATTTGGTTTGAAAAGTGTCCGATTTGATTTGAAAAGTGTCCGATTTGGATTTGAAAAGTGTCCGATTTGGATTTGAAAAGTGTCCGATTTAAAGTGAAAATGGTATATTACAAATACATTTCTAGAAGAGTAGAGGATTTAGTGTCCAGGGGAGAGGGCGCGAACGTAATGTGGGTGAGCGCGTTCATACTTTGCGGTAGCGTCCACTAGCGTTTCGGGCGTCAGACACTGAAAAAGTATAGATATTGATCTAGCGTCCACCAGCGTCTCCCAGGGTTCGCCAGCGTCCACCAGCGTGTAGAGGGCCTGGAATGTATAGGTATCAATCCAGTATTTACCAGCTAAGCTAGCGTCTACCAGCGTCTGGGAGAGGAGAGTATGGCGCAATGGAAGCGTAGCAGACAGCTGGTAGAGTATGGCGCGATAGGAGGGTACCAGCTGTCTGCTACCCCCTATCGCGCCATACTCTCCTCTCCCGGATGCTGGTGCACGCTGGCAGACGCTAGATCGATACCCATGCTTCCCAGATCCTCGAGACGCGGTGAACGCTGGTAGACGCTGGCGAACGCTGGGAGACGTTGGTGAACGCTAGATCGAAATCCATACTTTCCCAGACGCCGAAGCTGCCTGGCGCTCGGAGCTAGTGAACGTTTTCGCGAAGTATGAACGCAGCCTAAAAGGTAGTCTCTCAGAATGCACACAGTTCCCGCATCCTTTGTGTGCCGCTTATCTCCAGGCGTAGGTTCCTTGGCGATGTCGAGAATCGAGAGCGACGCTACCGCGATAAGTTGCTACCTAGGCGTGAACTCAGAAGTGTTGTGTGCACTGACCTCTCCAACGCAGTTGTTCTACGCGCAGTCGCTCGGATACTGTATCCCGCCTCTGTCCCTTGAATTGCAGTTTAGTCAATCCTGTCGCCTAATTGGTGAACTGAAACTCTACAAAGGATGCCCAGCTTAGCCAACAGTTGTACCTAAATATATAATAAAGAGCTACATTTCAGATAAACGAGGGAGGTTTTTGTCGTTTGGAGGAAGAAATATCAGACGCAATGAATTCACTTGGGTAGTGAAGTTCATGTACCGTGTAGGTTAGGTCTTGTCTAAATTATCGACGACGCAAGGGGGTCAGCTCATCTGGGCGGCTGCCAAGCAGCAAAGAGGCGCTAATACAAGCTGCAACAGAAAGTTGTAGAGCTTCCGGCCATCGGCAGCGGAAACCGAGTACATGGCACAATCCAAAGCCATTGACCCTCCACCCTTCTTTCATTATTGTGTCATTTCAGGCGATAGAAAATCCATGTGTAGCGGTGCTCTCATCTCTCCCGTCATTTACTCACAGCTGCTCACTGTGTTACCGATTATAATGTAAAAGAAGTGAACAGGGAATGTAACCGCACCAAAGAAGAGAGAAAGTCAGTTCACAGCTCTCAGTTCAGATTCTTGTCGCCGTCAGGAAATCAACGCTTGGTCGCAGCCAGTCGCCCCTTATTTCAGGGTCATACACCCTCTCAGGCTTCATTCTATTTACTCTGACATCTGTCTTGATTGAAAGGTGCTGACCTACCCACCGCCTCCCAGTAGTCTTACCGCTCACCCAACCACTGCCAATGGCCAGCGCCAGCGTAAGCGCAAGAAATTTCCATTGAATTCGGTTGGAACCGGCGGTCGCTTACGATTTACATTGGAAGCAAGTGCCTCTATCCTGAAAAATGCCTCAAGAGCCGACAAGTGAAAATGGTTGGTGCAATTTAGACCTATAAAACCTTTATAATTTTTTTGAACATGCCCAATAATCCAAAAGCATAGAGGCCATACGAGCGCCAGAATTCCGAAAAAAATTGAAACTCGTTAGCAAGATTGTGTAAAATTCATGTTGGTGAAAAAACTCTCAATCACTCACTTCCTACATAATGTTTTCATTTCTCTACAGTATGGAATACCAGGGATGCAAACCGGGAGCTCGGAGTTGCGGCGAACGACGCTGGAAGTCTATTCGGGCGCGCGACATTCGCGCCAAGAACTGAGAGAGTTGGGTCTCACAGTGTACCAAGTCAGCCAGGAAAAGGCACGCGTATGAGCTGGGTTCTGCCTTCGTCCGCGACTCCGGATCTTCTGGTGTTAGGGCTCGTCGTACGATTTGAATCCCTAGCGGAAAAAAGAAGTTTCACAGAACTCGGGAGAGGGGGAAGATAACAGCTAGGGATGGGGAGGGGGAAGTTGTGGGTCGTACCAGTGGAGGAAAATCTGTGAAGACGGGTCGTATTACGCTAAAATTTTTTCCAACGCCAGGACGTGCCGGCCTGGTACACAGCCTAACAGTACTGCGGTTCGCTTGCAACTAGTAATAACCCTATCATTTATCTTTTCATTTCCTTGTAATAATAGACTTACTTGTAGGTTTGGATTCACGAAAAATGGGACCCATGTACCCAAGAACACGATATTGCCATAATCGAACTTCTCGAGAATGTTACGTTCAGCAAAGAAGTGGCTCCGATATGCTTACCCTCTAAAGACCTCAAGCTGGCAAAGCTTCTGAGAGCAGCTGGAGCTGGGATGAACCGTGAGTTCAGGCTCACTTTATAAAACGCGACAAGTGCAAGTGTTAAGGACGCATAGTTTAAAACGGTAGGGTTTTAGCTCTGGTTGAAAAGTAATGCAAGGGACAAAAAGTACTCTCCTGGGAATGACGAAGTTCTGCATCACAGAAGTCGATCTTGGAGACTGGGCGCTCCGAAAAGACATGTTAGTGGGACATCCAGTGATAAAGCGGATGGAAGCCGACAAAGGGAGCTGAAAAACGGGCGAAAGGTCGACAGTAAACTGGCAACACCTTCCTTCTAGAAGGCAGAGCCTCATGTGAGTCATATGGGTAGGAGAAGGTAGTGGCAGTGGCGCCACTCAGCACTCGCGTTTTTCAATGTTCAACTCTCTAGATTTTGCCGAGTCAAGTAGGAGACAACAGCAGGTTTGCGCTGGAGGGTAGAATCGACAGAGCATTATTCTGCCCAAGCGATTACAGTCGTTGTCTCTGAAGTAAGTCGAGGATGCCAGCTTTGCGTGGGTTTTGACGCGACGCCAGCTCCATCGATTGTTGCGGCTTCGGGAGCTCTATGAGTGGTGGGAAAGAGGCTGGTGTCACGCCAAATCAAAGACCCGCTGGCACGCCAAGACCGACATCGATGATAACGACTGTAATGGTTTGAACCGAACTGCTACGCTCCGCTTCGATTCCGCTACGCTTCTCAATGGTAAGGCTGTACAGCGGCCAAAATTTGTTTATATCCGTGGCCACGGAT